TGGTCTGCCAGCCAAGACCATCACTGGAGGAGAGGTGCAGTTTGATCAAAGGCTGATGAACACCAGCAAGGTAACAATCTGTGTGATCATTACCTGCGAGTGGGATAGTATAGTGTTCATAAATGGTTAGTAGCCTGAGAGAGAGATATCACTGAGCAGATAGCACTTGGGCTACCAGCCAAGACCATCACCGGAGGAGAGGTGCAGTTTGATCAAAGGCTGATGAACACCAGCAAGGTAACAATCTGTGTGATCATTACCTGCGAGTGGGATGAATGGTGTTCATAAATGTGGTGGTCATAAATGGTTAGCATCCTACAATTTTGAACATAGGCCATGCTCAGCTTACAACGTATGATGTTCCATCTGTTTATTGGCCAAAGCTTAGTTTTGGTAACAATTATACCAAGTTTATTAATACAAACAGATATTGTATACTGCAGTTTGAATTGTTGACTGGTCAATACTATGGAGGAAAGGGCCAACACAATGGTTGCGTCGTTTCCTAGATATTTCCCCGTGTGAGTTCTTAAGGGTACATAAAGGTAGAGAATTAGGGAAGCATGTTTAACGACATGCTAGAGAATGTATGGATACACAGTATAAGATCAAACTAAACTATTACAATTTTGTTTAAAACACTCAGATGGAATTAAGGTTACTGATTTTGCCTCTTGTAGCAAGACATAATAACCAGGACAGATTATAAGCAGCTCATGTTTTATCAAATAATTTTATCTCTTATCTGTAAGTAAAATTAATCCCTAAAAGGTATTTTGTGAGATGAATTTCCACATTTTTGCTAAAAGTCTCGTTTCTGGCCACAGGGCATGGACTCGGGCTACGGTGATGATGAAGCCTACAATGTTTACGACAAGCCGTGGCGTGACTCCAGCAGTTTGGGTCAGCATTTGTACCGGCCGAGCAAGAATGTCGATAAGGACATTTATGGAGACGACTTGGAAAAGATTGTGAAAACAAATAGGTCAGTTGAATGATGTTGGTTATGTGATGTGTTTTGGGTTCTTTTGACAACTAATCAAGTGTCATACCCCGACGTATTATTCAAGTGACCAAATCAATGTCGTTTTGAAAGAGTTTTTCATTAATATAAAAAATGTTCTGGTTAATGGCAAATTTATTAGTCTAATCAAGTACTTAGTGTTTAAACATAAACTGTACACCTGACTACGTTTCATCGACCTAGCTCTCCTCCACATTCCAAGGTCTCTGATTTTGAATATGATTACAAAAACGGAGTCTCTTAAATATTTTCTGATTGAAGCTTTCATTGCAAAATAAACACTACTTGTCAATAGATGCACTTTAAATTTTATTTTCATTTTACACTAGTGGGAACATTTTTGTAAATGGCATACCCAATTTTTCTGTCCATATGGAAAGAACCTGTTCCCTTTTTTGTTTCCCACATTATAATGCTTTTTATAGTTTTTCTTCACTGATAGTTCTTCTTTTGGTCTATCTACAGTTATCTCTTTACAGATTTGTGCCTGATAAAGAGTTCAGTGGGACAGATCGCTCTGCTGCTCAGGCTGGCCGCAGTGGACCTGTCCAGTTTGAGAAGGAAGAAGAAGAAGATCCCTTCGGTCTGGATCAGTTCTTAACACAAGCCAAGCGGTCGTCTAAGCGACCCAACTATGAGAGGGATCGCAAGGATGACAAGCGAAGGCGGCATTAAGGTCAGTATGTTGGTTTTCCCCCTCGCTAATTACTTGTTTCAAGTAGGAAGAGTTGGAAGTATCACACGAATGAACACAGACCTAATTGAAATATCATGTGTTACCCATTGAGTTTCCGTATTCGATAGAAACTAGTGATTGAGGGTGCACTCTGTTGGTGGCTTGATCCATCAATGAACATTTCCAATCTAAAACTTGCTACAACTCTTTAACATAGGAATGGGATGAGTTAACTTATCAATAGTTGAAGGTTAACTAAAGGTTCATAAGGGAAGTATTTTTGTGCCGATATTATAATTTTTTTACAATCTTGCTAGCAAATTATTATCCTTACGGTAAACATTATTAATTTATTCTTCATTCCCTTTTCAGAGCACTGGACGAACAGAGAAGTTCAATGGAGACGGTCAGTAGTCCCTTATGAGAAGCAAATACTGGTGGCAAAAATATCACCACTAAACTACACACTGTTTTATTTTTAGTTTTAATTTATATGTTATCTCCTGTAAATAAATATAAAAGGTACATTATAAATTTGTTTAGGTTTTATTTTTTTAATAAGTAAGCTTGCCTCTTATTTTCATTGTTGATGATATAGGTAGGCTTTTATAATTACATTTTAAATAATTGTATTGAATTTTTTGTCTTGATAAAAGTATATTGTTGTGGGATACAAATCTAAATAAAGAAATAAAGTTTATCGTAAGGCAATCTTCATATGTACCTACTAATAAAATTTATACATATAATTTTATGTCTAGAAATTGGACATTTTATCGGTTTTGGTAGTTTTTAACTCAATTTGATTGAAAATTGGTATGGAAATATTTATGTATATGACCTCTAAATATACAGCTTATTTAGATAATTTGGAATTACGATTTAATTTTTTTCATGTGACTCGTACAGTCATTTGCATGATAGTGTAAATATTTGTCTTTGTAAATCAGTATGATTTATAAGTTGTCTTTACGTAATAAAGAAATTGTTAAATACTCGTATGACTGTGAATTACTAACCACCCTCAATAATTGCTGCAGCAAAAGTACAACAAATGTCAAGTGTATGCTGTTTACATAAATACATTGTTGTTTGTTTAGCTCAGTGGTTGTGAATCTCAATTTCAAATCTGAAGGATGTTGGGTAGTTTCTCGACCCATTCCAGTTTTGTAATTGGGCTATATATTTTGCTCTAACAGCAGTAGTTGTGGTAGTTTAATATTAAAATCACCAGATTTTGAACTGTTCCCTTCCAAAAATCATAAAAAACTTAAAAGTTGTAAAAAGTGATAAATAAACAATAAAATAAATTTTACTTTCTCCCCTATACATAGTTAAATGGAGAAGGTATCGTTTTTGTCAAAACTTTGTAGTTAAAGTTTTGGGTGGACATCTACGTTTTGGGTTCCCCTGAGTATGTGAATGTGTACAGAGCTACAGACCTCACCTTCGTCCGATTTTGAGATAGAGCTCAGCAAAAGTTGTCACCGCCAAATTAAAAGAAAGAAGGGTGAATATGCCTAGAAAAATTTACATTTCTTAGTAACCTCTACAAAGTTCTAGTTGAAACAACAATTTGAATTGTACAAGGAAAAATATGTTTTTCGTAAACACAGTTCATGGTCACACAGTGATGATAAAAAACACGGATATAGTAACTGAAAATGTTTGATGTCAAAATAAATATTGAAAAGATTTCAAATTTTTATGTATCTTTAAAAAAGTTGAATATTCTGTTAAAATAGTGTACACTAAACAGTGTTGCGATTCTTCAATGGCTATACCTAAATTAATGTCATTTTGCACCCAGGGCCGTCCCTAGGGTTGGCGGCGCCCCCTCCCCATCAGTAGAAGTTGCAGTCGCATATTTTAATACTTAGGTTAATACAAATAGCCGCGGCGCCACGCCCCCTCATCCACAGCAGCTTGCCCCGGTTACCCCCCCTTCGGCCGGCCCTGGTTGCAGCCATTGAGCTTGTTCAAATTGAGACTATCACTTAAATTCATCCGCTTCCATTGTAGCCTGTTGGCACCCCTGTGTGATGGTTAGTCTTATCATAGCCTAAAACAATGTGAGGGAAAAAGTACCTAAACAATAAACATTTATGAACTTTATAATACTTTTTTATAAAATGGCGAGGCGACCATATGAATGTAGGTATTTTAAGCCAAGTATGAATGGAGATAAGTAGCGTGATATTAAAAAAAAATAATAAAAAATAAAAAAAGTACCACTATGATTATGTTATGTTTCTGTGAGAAGGAGGTTAAGTTAACCCCTGCAAAAAAATCTATTTCCATTGAATGTTATCAGTAACTTACTAGTCCATTTTTCATCTGTCTACCAATAAAAACACCCAATAGAGTAACAGAAAAAAAAACACCACTAAATCACACTACTGTATAAGAGGTATTAGGTTATGGTGTTGATGTATGTTGAACTGTTTATCAACAGTTGGAATGATTTGTTTTTCTTTATTAGTTAGTAAACAATCAATTTTTGGGGTTAATTCAAAATCTTAACTTTTAATTGTGTAGTTAACTATCATAGCCAAATATTCCATATTTTTTACAATTCCTTTGTGCCTTAAACAGATTTATGCCAAAGAGGGATGTGAATTCATTTAAATAAAAAGAGTTGTCGTGTGTCTAATTCTAATTTGAATTCTATGTGTTGTGGTTTTGGTTTCACCGAAGTCAGAAATAACAAGATGGAAAAGATCAGAACTTTAAGAATGCTGATTTCTAGATATAGAGCTGACGCAGCAGATCTAGCCAGGAGGGAAGAAGATCTGACCAGGGAACTGGAAATTATAGAAAATCTCATATCAACAGCAACGATATGGTACATATCAAAAGTAATTCAAACTAGAGAAATGCAAGCTCCTCAGCAAGAAACAGAAAAGGCAAGGGAAAAATTAGACCGACTTAAAAGAATTTTAAGAGATATTAGACAGTCAATAGAGGTGGTGAAAGATGAAGAAACCGTCATAAGGAAAAGAATAGAAGAGCTGGAAACATTGTTAAATTATCAGCCAGATTCATATACTAGTATGTTTACCAATGAGAGAATCTTTGAAAAATTTGATCTTGCAGATAATATTTATGATTCAACTATCCAAAAAGAAATTTACAGCATTGAAGCTGAACACCTAGAAAAAGGAACAGAAGAAAATCAATTACAAACTAAAGATAGTGGAAGGAAATGTAAAGGAGGAATTCCCAAAACTATAATTGAACACACTGAACAAAGCTGTGGAAGCTATAATAAAGGCCATAATAGTATGAAAACTGAGAGGTCAGTAGATCTTCACTTATCAAATGCAAAATTAACTTCAATTACTGATAAAAGTAAAAGCAAATGTCTAACAAGTGACCTAGCTGATTACACTAAAACAAAATGTGAAAAATCATTTGATGTAGGATTTAAGAGTAGTGTTGCTGAGGAATCTGTAACATTTGACCAAGGAAGAAATATTTCACATAAGTTTGATGAAAATAATGGCTCTGTTACTGACAATGATAAAATGATTAAAACAAGCAATGAACAAAAATGTGAGGACAACCCCCTAGAAAGTGCTGCAATAGATCGGTCCAATGATGAGGCTGGAAGAGATTTCAAATTCATGCAGTTTGATGAAAATAATGGCTCTGTTACTGACAATGATAAAACTATTAAAACAAGCAATGAACAAAAATGTGAGGACAACCCCCTAGAAAGTGCTGCAGTAGATCGGTCCAATGATGAGGCTGGAAGAGATTTCAAATTCATGCAGTTTGATGAAAATAATGGCTCTGTTACTGACAATGATAAAACTATTAGAACAAGCAATGAACAAAAATGTGAGGACAACCCCCTAGAAAGTGCTGCAATAGATCGGTCCAATGATGAGACTGAAAGAGATTTCAAATTCATGCAAGAAAACCAGGATACTCTTGTAAATGACACAAATTGGAATCATGTTTATGGAAAACTTGTAACCCAAGTAAACGAGCTTAGAGAAGATTTAGAACATTCTTCCTTAAAGCTCAGGCAGAGTGCAGAATATGTTAAGAATTTAGAGGAAGAGTGTTTAAAGTTGGAAAAGGAAATAAAAGATAAAATTCATCTACTTGAAAATAAATTTGCTGCATTAGACCAAAAAGAAAAGGGTATTAACTGTGAAGACATAAATGCATTGCTACCAAATATTGGTGTAAAAAATTCTCTATTAGCAATGCAGGAAGCTATTGAGAAATCAATAAATGCATTAAAGGAGGCCTCCACCTCTATGTTTTCAAATGTAAGTAAGATTTAATATGCGATTAATGTGAAAAACACATTTTATTTGCACTTGTCTCTTTAAGGGAAAAATGACTTTAATTTATTTACAGTTGTATATTGTGGTGACTGGTGACCAGGATTTTCTAATATAAGTAGGAACCTATCATAAATTCAGGAATTCCGGAAACTGCAACAATACCTTAGTAAAAACTCACTGTCAAAACAGCAATCCTACCTTGTTTAGCGGACGTCCACGATTCTTGTTCCTCCAGGGGTTTAATCATAGTTTGTAATCCCTTGTTATCAAATTTATAACACAGAAATATGATCTTGAAAAAAAAAGATAAATAATTCTGTGTAGGACCCATGCCATGGTATGACCGCGTGTTACTGTGTTGTATGACAATCAGAGTCATTAGTCCCGGACCAAGCGTACGTTCAAACATCGACGGCGGTTATTTTATTCACGTCGTCGCATCAAGAAACTAAATTGTGATCACGGGAGTGATGACGAAGTGGTCCACGACCATGGGAGAATGACTTACAGCTTCAGGCGTCGCTGCCGTGGCAAACGGAAGATCCCAGATTTTGCTACGATCGCGGAATGCTTACATGTCGTTATCTCAATCACCAAAGCATTGGAAAAGCGATTCGGTGACTTGAGAGAGTTGCAATCAATATAGGCTAAGTTATATTGATTGCAACTGCTCTCTCAAGTCAACGAAATCGCTTTTCCAATGATTTGGTGATTGAGAGTTTCAATTTGGACAAAGCAAAGTAACTTGACACCCATGGACCCGTTGACATAGTGGCGTAAAAGCCCTTTTGGTAGCTGCCTCGTTCACCTGCCATCCAGAGGTTGTTTAGTTGTTCATTATGCTCTAACGTCTCCAATAGCATCACACGTAAAACAGGCTTCAGATTTTGTAACCGAACGAGAAGCCTACTTGTAGTGAAAATATTGAAGGTTTGAAGTAGAAAGCATATACTGTAAACTCATCATGGTCCTGTAAACTCGTTTAGGAGTAACAATATTCAAGAGAGATTTAATCCATGGTAGTGATAATCCACGATACATGCCTGTCATATATGACATATAGGAAGTTCAAAGCTACTCTGTTCTTCTTTTTACCTTTCTTTACATAGTTTGTTTGTTTGTCTATGATAAGTTGCATGACTGTCGTTTATTGTACCTTCTCTTCTGTCAACTACTAAAGAAAGGATAATCTTTATTTTATATTAAAATAACAAAAGACATCTTAACAATTTACTGTAAGTACTTTCCCCGCAAATGATAGAGTATTCATTGCCATTTTTTAACCAATCTATTTAAGGCCCTAATATTTAAATAATTTGAATTAGATAATTTGCAGCTTTGCTGTGCTATAGGTTAGCTTAGTTCTTGAACAAGCTTTTAATTACAAATAGGCTAGCCTAATTCAAGATTATGTTAAAACTGGTCCTATATTTGTTTGGCTAAAACCTGTTGGAAGTATTTTGAGTTAGATAGGTAGGCCTATTCAAGTAAACTTAACCTTGATTTAAAAGGTAAGAAACACAAAGATTTGGTAAAATTAGCCTTACTTAGGCCTAGGCCTACTTGTGATGATCCCACTAGTAGCTTTCCAGCTGTGGTCGTCAAAGGTATTTAATTTTCAGGTAGGGCCTATCTTCTCTTACTCCTCCAAAAATTCTTCCACTTTGTAGGCCTTTTCTAAAAATTACTTCTAAGTAATTTTTGAGTTTTTTCTTGAATAAGTTTTGTCTTGGCAGCTTCTTATGTCTTCTGTCAATTTATTAAATATTTTACTTGCTGAGTGGTGTGGTCCAGCTATTACCAATGATGTTTGGTGACAATTCAGGTGTAGGACATAACTAAACTTAGCCTAGGCTATTTATGGTTTTGTTCTGGTATTATAATTATTTAACTTAAATTATTTCGTGGTTGCGTTTGAAGACTTCGCTATATACTTCGATATATAAACAGAGGTAAGGGTGGGAACTTTAAGATTAATAAAAAGCGGTCTGCAATGTTCTAAAAGATGGGTTCTAGGCCTACATATTATTCTAATAATTATCTTTTGTAGTAGAAAGACTCTGTTTGCTTCACTGCTGTTGCCCCAAAGTACGATGCCATAACTCAATACGCTATGAAAGCAGCCATAATATACTTTCATCAAGATATGATGTTTCACTATATTTAGCATTCTGCGCATAAGACAGCATACCACCGCAAGTCTTGAGGTTATGTGTAGGCCTAAGTTAGGCCTACCTCAATTTTTATTTACTGTTTCTCACTTTTACCCTTTGTGCCTTACAGCACACTGTAATAACTTTCACATCACCTGGACCAGCAGTGCACTGTTACTGCCCGTTGCAAAACGCTCCCTTTACACTGCTAGTATAAATAAATCAAAGCCTAGCTTTTGTTATGCCTTGTGTTGTGTGTGTGTTGTGTTCTACGTGTGCAGATTGATAAGTTGAAGCCCCTGACGGCTTTAAGATTGTGGCTTATAACAAATTCTGAATTTATCAAGGTCATTGACAATGTAAAATTCGGTACTGTACCTTATGTATATTATAATTTTTTGTGATTTTGTGAGGCCTCGATTTATGATGGAACCCTCTGTTTAGATGGTGGAAGGAGAAGGAGTCACCCCGGCGTACATGCAGATGGCCCATTGGCGCTTCACTCTCAAGTTGCCAGAGTACCAGGGAGATAAAGAACTCAAGGAGAAGCTGATGACTGGAATAAAACAGGGAAACATGGCTCCATATTACAAAGAGGTGAGTAAATTTATGTAAATACCATGGAACTTTTCTTTAATTAATTTTACTTATCATTTAATTCTAGGTGGTGAAACTTAAATCATTTATCAACCATTACCGATAGCATTTCATACTTACATCTCAGTGCTACTAACCGTTTAAATTTTGTACTGCTAGGTCTTACGTAAACAAATTATACAGTAATTGAGGACAGGCTACCTAACTCTTTATTTTTCTCAAAACTTAGCCTATTTTTGAAGCAATTCTCTGATTTCAATACCAAGAAAAACATTTTACATTCAAAGAAACTAATTTGTCTTAAAAGATTAATATATGCAAACAAATTTAGAAAAACTAAAATTGTTTTTTGATGGCTGTTACAGGTATGTGCAGACCTAGGCTGGGAGTTTGACACCAAGCTGTATGACGAGATGAGTGTAGCCAATACCAAGCGACTTGAGGAGTTGGAGAAGGAACATGAAAACAATGTAATGGACGAGGAAGACCAAAGCCAGCTGTGTGGAGTGTGGCAAAGCAAACTGGACTATCTGTGCTCCATCGGGGACAGGGAGAACGCAACGGTTAGTGTTCAATGTTTACTAGAGGACCCATGCTGCTCCGCAGCGTTAAATTAATTATTATATCCGAGAAATAATCAAATTTATAATTTTTTATTGAGTAATACGGTATCTTGAGCTTAACTGATTCAAACAATCAATAGCTCAATTTAAATCCTATAATTTACTGATTATTTTGTGTCTAAAACATATAGAAAAACAGGAACAATACTGGAGCTATTGATTTTTAACCATATTAAAACATTATGAAAAATAATTTTTATATTGGTTATTCACCTTGCATTTGCTTGAAACTCGTCGGATTTGAATAACTTAATTAAATGAAAACCAGTATTTAACTGAAGGTTCTTAGACTTAAATATATGGGATTATAAATCTATAACTGGTAAAGGTACATCTTAATTTGAAGTAAGAAATATAAAATAAATCAAATTATGTGTTCTGGTCGTGTAATACTGTAGGTAAATATTTGTAGATGATTGATGGCAAATTTGTGCGTGCATACCTTCAATTCGAGACCTCAATCATGAAAATCGGTCGGGTAGAAGAGCCAAACGAACTCGGCAAAGAAAAACCAAATTTAACTTCCATAAGAAATACATGGGGAGCAAATTTTCATTTGCGTATACACCGAGTGGGATTATAGATAAATATATGTCGATGCTTGATGGTAAATCTGTGCGTGCATACCTTCAATTTGAGACCTAAATCATGAAAATCGGTCGGGTAGAAGAGCCCAACGAACTCGGCAAAGAAAAGCCAAATTTAACTCCCATAAGAAATACATGTGGAGCAAATTTTGTTTACGTATAAGCCTAGTGGGATTATAGATAAATATATGCCGATGCTTGATGGCAAATCTGTGCGTGCATACCTTCGATTTGAGACCTCAATCATGAAAATCGGTCGGGTAGAAGAGCCAAACGAACTCGGCAAAGAAAAACCAAATTTAACTCCCATAAGAAATACATGGGGAGCAAATTACGTTTACGTATAAACTGAGTGGGATTATAGATAAATATATGCCGATGCTTGATGGCAAATCTGTGCGTGCATACCTTCGATTTGAGACCTCAATCATGAAAATCGGTCGGGTAGAAGAGCCAAACGAACTCGGCAAAGAAAAACCAAATTTAACTCCCATAAGAAATACATGAGGAGCAAATTTCGTTTACGTATAAACCGAGTAATACTATAGATAATTATATGCCGATACTTGATGGCAAATTCGTGCGTGCATACCTTCAATTTGAGACCTCAATCATGAAAATCAGTCGGGTAGAAGAGCCCATCGAACTCGGCAAAGAAAAGCCAAATTTAACTCCCATAAGAAATACATGGGGAGCAAATTTCGTTTACGTATAAACTGAGTGGGATTATAGATAAATATATGCCGATGCTTGATGGCAAATCTGTGCGTGCATACCTTCAATTTGAGACCTCAATAATGAAAATCGGTCGGGTAGAAGAGCCAAACGAACTCGGAAAAGAAAAACCAAATTTTTTTAATATATAAGATTCTGTCATATATTTTTACATCAGTGGCATTAGTCTACTATGGTTATGTTGATGTGCAACGTGATTCTATTAAAACTTTATTAATTCAATCGCTTCAACGATACCTTGATTAATGGTATCTAAAATCAAAATCTATCCCTCAGGGTTAAACCAACGACCCTGAAATTGATCGATTGAAATTAGATCTCTTATCACTTAGTTACCCAGAATATTTGGTCGCACTGTGCAGAGACTGCCTTTTGGACTGTATACAGAATTTAGAGTAAAATCCAAGATTAAATTGCATTGATGTGGAAATCATCTTCTGATGTACCGGTACTTATACATTTCCTCAGACCCTGGCCAACTCCAAGGTTGATGACAAGACTGTGCCCAAGAGTCACAGGATCGATGCTGTCTTCTCACTGTTCAGAATCTCCTTTTTCCACGGATGTAACATTAAGGGAATGAGCACAGCGATTGAAAAGGCTACTGAACTAATTGAAGGTAAGGGTGTAGAATGCATCTCTTAAGTAAATTTAATTAAATCACACAAGTAGGCTATAAAAAGTGAGGGAGGAAAATATACTTATTGTTCAGTACATGGAAAACATTAAATTTGGCCAAAAAGACAGAAATTTACATTAACCTGATTACCTACAGAATATGTGTAAAACAGAATTCATAACACAGGAGAGAATTTTAAATCCTACATAGGCCACTGTCCCATTTCTTGATTGATGTAGTTAGCGATTGTCATTAGGCCTACTGTATGTATAAAGTTATAACATGACAAAATGTTATAAATTATAAATGATATGATAGGCTATTTGGAAAGCTAAAGCTTATATTTCAAATAGGCTGCAGTCACACACTGTAATCATTCTACATTTTTGACAAGTGAGCCATTAACAATATATCTTATGCATTTTTAACATTGCTCCTCATTGTCTTTTACATAGGCCTACATTTAAAAAAATCATATACATACCTTACTCTTCCAGTCATCCAACATTTTAATTTGAATACCTAACAGTAAAATGCAGCCACACAGGGGGGTGTGAGCTGGTCTAGTAGTAGGGCAGGGACTTGGGTCTCTGAGGTCCTGGTTTCGAATCCCGCCAATCACCAATAGATTTGATCTAAGTGATAATGCCACCTTATATACTACCTTATATACTACCTTTAGTCCTAGCCTGAAGTAATGTGGACAATTCTAGGCTAGAACCTATAGGGAAAAAATGCAGCACACATCATAAACCTATATTTCAACTTTCTCATTCCATTTGCCTAACAAACCGCAACTTGTGGCCAAGGTGTCCGTTGTTTAAATCCTTTTAACAGTTTCCATTAATTTATTGTTATTTTACCAAGGTATCAGCGGTGGGGACTGGAGTGCTCGTAATAAGCTGAAGGCCTACGAGGGTGTTTGGAGTTTGGCCATCAGAGACTTCACCCGTGCTGCTCATCTGTTCGTCGACGTAGTTCCCACATTTGAGTCGTACGAGCTGGCTGACTTTGGTACCATTATCCGCTACACCGTGCTGTCTTGTATGATCGCTCTGCCCCGGTGTGACCTGAGGAAGAAGCTCATGCTGCACGGAGTTATGGCGCAAGCTCTTCATTCTCAGTATCAGGTATTTGATTTTTGTGGCACTATTTCTTATTTTTGTGGGAAATTATTGATGAACTCCTCCGAACAAGGTATAGTGATAGTGCCTTAGAGAGAATAAGTCTGACATTGCTGGTTTGAGACAAGCTGCCTACTTTATCATAACACTGCGGCCACCACTGCCCGTTTGATTTATAATGTAATAGTAAAACACTGTCTAAAGATCACTGCAAGGATGTACAGCGTGTATACAAACTCTCTGGAACGCTTTTGTATATTTGTTCCTTAGGTCGAAACAATGAAAAAACATACAAACAAAATGGGTCTAAAATGCCTGGTTTTCTATCTGTTTGTGATTCTCACAAATGTATCCATAACTTTTAAACCTGCTAAGCAATTGACTTCAAGCCTAGTGCATAAGTAAAGACAAATAGGACCAACCTTTGTACAAAGTATCAGATTTATAAGTTCTACTAAGCACTATGTTTGATTCTTCTATCCAGGACCTAAGGGAGTATTTCGTGTCACTGTATGACGGTCGCTACTCAGACTTCCTCGTTTGCTTGGCTCGTATTGAGGTTGAGATGAAGAGGGATCCGTTGCTGCATCCCCACTACCGTCACTACGTCCAGGAGATGAGGCTGCGAGCCTACAAACAGATATTACAGGCTTACCGCTCTCTCAGGTAACTGATTTTAGGAGCTTATCAGATCAAATAAAAATTGATCATGCCATGACATGAATGTAATCTTGGTTTCTTATGTACTTACAGGGGACTATCAGAAAACTTATTTTTGATCCATCAATGTATTTTGTGTGCCATTTTATTCAGTCAAATCTAATAGTGTTTGAGAATATTAGTTAAATTAATTTTGTGGTAATTTTTTTACCAAGATTTGTTTGTGCTATTTATAAAAATTAAAAAGCTGTAATAAGTAGTTGTTGTATATGAGGTCGGAGGTGGAGGTACTTGTTTTTATGTTGTTATTTTTTTAATTAGGCTACTAAAACGAGGGCCACCAAAAATGTGTACCCTTAAAAGAGTTCTCTTATCATTTTTTCGCTGATTTGTTTTTACTACTACGTTTGAACGTTAAATTTAGTCAGAACCAGTTAAGCCTATGGTGGTAGAAGTGTTTTTATTCAAATTTAATCTGTAATCTCTGTCCATTTCCAGTCTGGACTACATGGCCCAGTCCTTCGGTGTGACCAGTGAGTTTATCGAGCGAGAGGTGGCCAGGTTTGCCGCTGCTGGGAGACTTCAGTGCAAGATAGATTCGGTGGCCGGGACAGTGATCACAAGTGCTCATCTGGACGACTCAGTGCGCAGCAAGGAAGCTCCCGAGGCTAGCCTGGACAGGAACATTCTCTACCAGACAACCGTCAAGCGAGGAGACATCCTCCTCAACCGACTCAAGAAACTGGCCAGAGTCATGGACTTCTAGAACAGTCGTGTCGCTTTAATTTATATTCATCAATAAACTTCTTTTTGTTATAAATGCTAACTAAAAATGTGTTTCTTATTTCTTTGCCGTTGAGGTATTGGGTGGACACTTTGAAAACGTTAATTCCCTTTGTAATAAAATAATTTTTAAACATTTCACCTGTTGTCCAGGGAGATATGCTCCTTTACTGTGAGGAGTAAATCATTTCAAGGTCTCTCATTTCCAGTTGGGGACGTTCAAATTGAAATAGACAGAATTTGTGAGTAAAAGTCAGAATGTTTAGCTAGCCAACCCTTAGTTTGGCTGATGATGATATCTGGTATCTAATTATATCACCCTTCGTATCTGGCAATTACCATAGAACTGTAAAGAGTTCTAAAGAACTGTCTAAAGAACCTAAAAATGTCTCTTTAGACAACAATTCTGGGAAATAAGAACCAGGGTTTAATGTAGGGTTTAATGTATCTTACTGGTTCGTTTTTTGGAGCTATTCTCCACTACAATAATTAATTTCATCTATCATTTCAGCCTCTGGATTGCTTATATAATCAAATAAATAGTAAAGTCTTACCTTAGCAATCCTTATTCATATGCATTCCTTTAATAAGGATTGCTAAGGTAAGACTTTACTATTTATTTAATTAATTTCAGCAGACGATATTTAACAACACAATTACAATATCCCATAGAATAATAACAATACAATGAACTATCCAATTCTGTATTATAGGCTCCACCATCATTAAGAATAAGTATGGTATTACATCTAAAGTCGGGACCACGTAAGTTTGCAGTTGGTGGCAGCCAATCACAAGACAAGGCTAGTGCGACGTTGCCACATCGCCCATTGACAACACTAATTAAAATATAAAAGCAATATTTTCAAATCAGCTGGTATTATCAGATTTGGCAACACCGCACCGTTCTCATTGGTTCATTCAAAACAATATGGTAAATAGGCTCCTCCCTTAACTGCAAACTTATGTGGTCCCGACAATAAGTAATTGGTCCTACATTATTTGCCAGTACACGCGTTTGTGTTCTGTGTTCTGCCACCTTTAGTTTACAGAAGAAACCCTCTTATCTGGCCATGACAGGACCGGCCCTTGGTTGGAACAGCAAAAAAGATTTGGTTCTATCAACAATTTTTGAAATCTTTTAGTATTTGTATTAGCCAACTGGGATTGTGGGAGGTTTATTTTTGCCAGCTTTGTATAGAAATTTCTAAATTTACTTTCCCTTGCTCTCAATCAGTACTCTTGTTGTCAGCTTACTAGTATCTCTTTACCATTCATTAAAAAAAATTAAATCAGCTGTTTTCATTGTTGAACAATTTAACTGTTTGTAGAAATAGACATGAAAAGTATTGTTAATAACATTAACCAATAGTTATTTGTGGAACTAGTGAGCAAAGGGAGCAATTGACTCACTCGAGAGAAATACTTAAGGCTTGTGAGGAATGGTTTCTCAAGTGAGGCAATTGCACTTTGCACTCGAGCTGCACATTATATTTTTCCTACAGTTACCATAAAACAAATAAATTGGTAAAGAAACGTGACATATTTTTACACAGAAGTGAACTTTTAAAATGACATTTAATGATACAACAGAACTACAGCTGGCCAGCTGATTTACAGCCAGTGCTGCCAAACGTATTTTGCGCGTATACGACCTTGTCTGCATGTTACACGCTCACTATTTCGTGCCTTCACGTTGCAAATCTGGAGTGAGTGAGACAAAGTAATTAGAGTGAGACAATGTTAACATTGTCTCACTGATGAGCGAATTGGCCACTTTGCTTTCTCAAATCAGTGAGAGAACATGTACATTGTTAGGTAACTGTAGGAAAAAGTGATTTTCCAAAACTTGATTCAATTACTGAAGAATTAGAGAGTTAAGGCTTACAAGCTATGAATAGCTCTAACAATTTCTATTGACTATTTTTACCACTTTTTATAGAACTTGTTAGTTATAGAGGGACTGTACATCTTTGAATCAACCAAGATCATAATCGTAATTGAATTTAATTGTACTTTTAGTACTTTACATTGACATTCAAATGGCGACCATACAAAAGTAGGTATTTTAGGCCAAGTATGAATAGTCTCTAAATAATACTTTTGCACTAGGGATCTTGGAAGAAATTCAACATTTAGAGAATATAATTGACCTATCAGGTCCATTTCTTGGTTAGTAAACAACTCAAGACAAAGCCCCAATCAGCATTATATAGAAAGTGGTTGTTTCTTCATAGCATTTGTCTCTCTACCAGAGTTCAACATTATTCCCACAGGTCAAATCCGAAAATGCTGCGTTCCAAAATTCAGTTTAAAATTACAAAACAACAAACATATAAAACAGCTAGGCGAGATCGTAAAAACAAGTTGGCAACATTGGCTGCAAATATTGTAGATCAATGCATTAATTGTTGCACTGCTATTGTTGGCAGACGGGTTTAAACTCATGACAACACAACGTGCTATTTTCTGACTGTCGATAATTATAGATCTCTGTAAATCTGGTAAGTAAAAGAGTTATATTTGCTTTAGTCAAAATTTATACTAATCACGTTGGACACGTAGTTGCTTGAAATAGCCATAAGAATGCTTCTTTAAACCTACTCCTATACACTACTTACTTGTGAAAGTGATTATTGTAATACCAAGGGAGTATGTTTAATCTATGGTAATACACACATCAAAAAGCCATGCAATTGTGGGGAGCATAGAAAAAAAATAAACCTAAAACATGATACAGTTGCCCCACCCATCCTAGGACTCTAAGCTCAAGCACGGGATTGTTTTTCATATTACTTGAGGGTAGAGCTAAAGTAGTGGCATTATCACTTTGATTAAATCTTCTTGTGATTGGCTGGATTTGAACCCAGGACCTCGAGGACTAAAGAGCCTCGCTCACCGTAGGCATAGATACAGTAAGCATAAAAAACAATCCCAGCGTAAGTATGGACTGTTATCCCCTTGTTGCGTGTGGTTAGCAAAATGAAAACAATTTTAATACTATCAGACAAATATTTTTCATCCCTCCGTATAGTACTGAAAGTAGCTATTTTTTGATAAAACCTGATACCAAGTTATTGTTTCCCAAGCTCAATTTTGAGCAAGCAATACTATCAGCTGATTTCCCCTAAATTACTTTTTCTTGCTCTCAACTCAATCAGTTCTTCATTTGGTCAATACGTAGTACGTGCGTTGGTGTTTTTTACAGTTAGTTTCTATTATTGAAATCAGCTGTATAACAATACAAATGTGAACAGAATAATGTATTGTATAAGCCAGTTTGCTGCGTTTAGCTTGTACTGCATGTTAACTGCAAAATGAACATAACCTTGGACATGAACGTCTGACTTTTACGTTGTTATGCAGGTATGCTATAACCTTTTTGGTTTTATTTGTATGATGAAATAATGTTATTAGAAAATATGTACCCTATAATAGTTTCTATTCTACTGAAGTATGTTATTCTGTAAAGGAGTATTTTTTGTTGTGATGGAAAGTATCGTTTATAACTTGTAGTCTTAGTCTACAGGAAGTGATTTCGCAGCACTTGCTCCAATTAATCCCATCTTCGGTTTGTACGTGAAAATAACCCTCACACGCTCGGCTTCGCCTCGCACGTGGAATTTTGTGTTGAGCGCACACCGAAAACTGCCACTTTCTGTACCAGTATTGGAATTCGGTAATGGCAGTAATATTTAGGCCTACTGCAGTCGTAAAACTCTTATGAAAGTGCCACAGGCGATCAAACATTTCTTTAAAGTGGAAAAGTGTCAATTTTGGCGCTTTAGTTACATAAAAATACAAAACATAGCAGCAACAAGTGACGGTATAACTTGTAGATTAAATTAACCGTATAACTATTGATGCTAAATGATGTGCATCAAGACACAAGTCCTAGGAACTGCCAGTTGGCTTTGGTCCAGTGAATACAATGTTGTGAAACTGTAATAGAAAACTACACAACTCGTTTGTAGTCTTACACGGGACTCGTACTCTTGTAATGTGTCAATTAATATGACTGGTAGTTCGGTGCCAATGAATACATAGTCTTCATATTCATTGCTTGCGCCAACACATGAATGTTAAAGTAACGGCGGCGTCCTTAAAACCGCCAACTGAAGATACACACTGTGAGGTTATGGTGGATTTCGCCATTATGAAGCTAAAATCAATAAGCTATTCTATTATACTATACAAAGTAAAGTTTCAACTACGAGCTGTCTGTAATGACCGAACGAAGAAAGGAGCTAGGTATTTAACTACAGCTGTTTCATCTTGCAAACACTTCATAAGTTTAATAACGTTTACATAAATATACAGTGTGTCTAATTTTTGAGTTCATCATGGTGAAGAAAATCGCCATAAAACACGAACTTGAATGACACGGAGCATTGAAATAAACTACTGGCCGACCACGCGAAGGGAAAAGATGCAAATAAAGGTAAGCTGCGAACCAACTTTAAGTTATCTTGGTTGTACCTTCAAAGTACAGGGGGTGAGGGGGATGTGATTGTTTGTAGGCCCTACCTATAAATTAAGGATTGATTACAAAAGTGGTCAAAATACAATTAATTCTTATACATTCGAGAGAAATATGATTCTCCAAGTACAAGTTAAAGTTAAGTTATGTTGCACTCCCAGAAATATATAAGAGTAGACTACTGGAGAATCGGTAACAGAAACTGTCACATACGTTCTCCCTCTAAAGGCTATAACCCATATAAATTACCATTTCTACATCTAATTTGCAAAACGAGTATGTGTTGTATTTACCTTCGTAATTAAAACTAATCTAAATATGGATACAAGCGAACATGTATTTGAAATATCGATTTATACAGTAGGCCTCGTCTGATTGGTTATAACATTTTCTTTTTATAAAGTGCGATGTTTCATATTTGTAACAATATCTTGTAAGGAGCACACGACATTTTTGGAATGCATTTTTGGGACTAGGATTCGTCTTATCAAAGTCTTGTAGGGGTTAGGTTCTAGGGTTTTTTGGAACAATGCCTTGTCGGAGCAATTTTTGTCAAATAAATGCTAGTTT